TGCCCCTGTCACCACCGCGCTGCCCCGAACGGTGTCTGACCTGTGACTCTGAGGAGACCCTCTGCCTCTTCCTCCTCCCTGCTAAGAGGTCACAGTCTGTGGTGTCCATGAACCCGTTGAGGAGACCAGAGCCCGGCCGTGGGGATGTCCTCCGCGCTCTCTTCCTTGGTGGGGTTTGCTCCCCAGCAGACCTGGGTGTGGGAGCTGGTGTGGAGGAGCCTGAGTGCGTCTCTGGGAAGTCCTCTGTGCCCACCACCATGTCCTGCAAAGAGAGCTGTGAAAAGGTCCTGCCCTGCCCTCCTGAAAGGACCAGAACCGTGGGGAACCCCCAGAAGCTGTGGCACGGGACAGCTAAGGGCCTCCCAAAGGCTCTGTGGGAGGGCTGCAAAGGCAGAAGGGCCAACTGTGGAGAAATGGGTTGGGTCTAGGCGGGATGCTTTCAGAGGGAGCAGTGTTGCATCTGTGAAGAAAGCTGCAGTGTGGCAGGGAAAAGAGAGCAATTTCAAGATCCCAGAAAGAAGTCCACTGTCCATCTGGTGCCCTGACCCACCTCCCAGTCAACGGGGAATCAACCTGTGAATGACACGGGATTTACATGGGACCAACATGGGATGAACATGCAATTGACACGTTACAGAGCTGCAACTAACAGGTAATCAACACAGGATTGACACGCTCTGCCCTCATGCAGGGCCACAGTCTGCCCCCGTCACCACCGCGCTGCCCCGAACGGTGTCTGACCTGTGACTCTGAGGAAACCCTCTGCCTCTTCCTCCTCCCTGACGAGATGTCACAGTCTGTGGTTTCCACGAACCTGCTCCAGAGACCATAGCCCAGCCGTGGGGATCTTCTCCCAAGCTCTCTCCCTTGGTGCCGTTTGCTCCAGTAACAGCTAACAAATAGCGCTCTCTCTCTCTATACAACATGCAATACAGAGTCTTTGCTGATTTTCCAGGAACTTGCAGCTCTTCCATTCATCATCATTTTCAAAAGTCCATTGTATTCCAGTTTTGACTAGTTCTTGTCGTTCCATTCTAATTCCTCTTCAGACACCACTGCTCACTGATGCAGTCTTCGGTCATCATGGTTACTCATCTTCTGAACAATCTTCATCATAATTCACTTTTAGACTTCTCAGGAAAGACTGAAAACCTATGTAACATTTACGCAATCTATGTGTAGCTTTTCACTGCCTAGCCTTTCTAAATTGCTTAAACTGTCGGTATTGTTCCTAGAGCACCTGTGCTCTATTGCAAACAATATCTAGTTATTAATTATTCCTCCTATTAGCAATACCTTAAGAGAAAACCCTTTTCTAAAGCTTCTTCCTTTTACAAATTCCCTCTTTTTTTTTTTTTCCATTGCACTCCTGCGATCCTTCTTATTTATAATTCCGCATCTCTCTATCTTCTGCATTATAAAAGAACCACAAACAATGTAACAAACAAAACAATCACACAGACCATTATGAAAATAATTGTTAAAAATAGTAACAATTAATTTAAATAAAAATGTAGCTGGGGAAATATCAATTGGTTCTCGGGGTATTCTTTTTATCCCATAACACTAAATTTAAAGCATCAGGCCACTTTAGGTCAGTCTGTTTACAAACCTGAAGTAATTTTTCTTTTAAAGTTCTGTTCATTCGTTCTACTTGGCCAGGTGATTTGCAGTGATGGGGAATATAATACTGACTAAAAATTCCTAAGCAATGATTAATTGGAATTAAAGTATCAGCTGTGTAATGACCCCCATGATCAGAATCAATGACTTCAGGAACTCCCTATTGAGGAATTATTTCCTCCAGTAAAATTTTTTGAATCATTTTTTCTGGTAGGAAAAGTTTTTACCCATCCTGTTAGCTGGTCAATTATCACTAACATGTAAGTGTACCTTTTTTTTTTTTTTTTTAATTTTTTTTTTAATTTTTTTTTTATTTCAGTATAATCAATTTGGAGCTGTTGAAAAATGAAAGGTGGCTGGAGGTCTTTTCCACTGGGTGCCTTAATTCACACAGAAGCATATTATTTACAAATTTTACATCCTTTACAGATTCTTTTAGCTGCTGCATAAATTCCCATAAATCTTTGAATCCGAAGCGCTAAGCTCTTTGGCCCCCCATGAGCTTTTTCGTAATGCCATCGCGCGATCGGTAATAAATACCTTTTTGGAAGAAGAGTCTTGATATTAAGCATCCATTGTTCTCCTTGTGGCTGGGCTCCAAGCTGGATCCACTCCTCCTTTTCTTCATTAGAGAGGTCTTCATATAACTTACTTATATCCAGCAGTTTGGATATCACCTCGTGTTGTGATAATGACATGATAAACACAACCTGTCGTGCTGTGGCTCTAGCTGCTTGGTCAGCTAAAGAATTTCCTTTAGAAATCATATCTTGCCTCTGAGTATGTGCTTTTATATAGATGACAGAAATCTCAGAGGGTAATTGTATCACCTCTAATAATTCCTTGACCTGTCTTCCATGGGGCACAGACTTCTCTGCTGATGTTAAGAAACCCCATTCTTTCCATAAAGTCCCAGTTGCATGGCAGATTCTAAAAGCATATTTAAAGTCCGTATTTTGCAGCTTCTGTAAGAGCAATTATTTCTGCTCCCTGTGCACCTAAAGGTGCAGGAAAAAGTCCCACCAATAGTACCTGCCTTTCCTTAGTCACTGCTGTTTTGTCTAAATGCCCCTGGTGTGGGGTTTCCTTAGTCACTGCTGTTTTGTCTAAATGCCCCTGGTGTGGGGTTTTCATGGCCTGGATTCTTTACCTAGGACCATTATAACTGCCAAAAAAGCAGTTATTTACTGTAATACAGGTTAACTGCACATGACTACAGAAGCCAGCTAGTCACCACCCAATTTTATCCAAGTTAGGAAAGAAAAGAGGACACATAGGGCTTGACAGACTAGAAAGGGAAAGGCCAAACACTTCTATAAAAAGACTTCAGATTAATCAGATTTAATCCATGTCCCTGCTCAACAGCCAACCTCACCTTCACTGGCATCATACTCCCCAGTTGCTACAACCTCTTCTTCCACATCTGTACAGGAATCATCAGGTTCAGAATTCACGTGATCACCATGTCCAGCTGCCATTGCTGTTTCCACCTGGACTGGACTGCAGTTTCAAGAACTATCACAAAGTTAGAAAAGAGGAAGCCAGAAAGAGAAGCCATTAAAAAGCAAAAGGGGAGCAGAAGTCATCCACCATCTTTCTTGCAGCTGCAACCTTTTCACAAAGAGCTGTATTACCATTGCTTAATTCACCTAGAAATACAAATGTGAAAGTGATGTTTCCATTTAACTCAAGCAACAGTTTGCACATTCGGGCTGGCAAATATAAGGAATATGAACTATTTAATCTTAAAAGAGCAGTAAACTGAAAAATCCTGGAACATTATGACAAACAAGAGGCACATAACTCATCTCAGGATCTAACAAAGCCATAGAGGAGAAAAGTTAAGAGAGAAATAAAACTGCCACAGGAAGAGGCAGTTCAGTTCCAGCTTATTCACAACATGGTGAATGGAATGCTGCCGTTTACCTAAGAAATTAGAAATTGCCTGCAAGTTTTCCATGGGATTATTGATGAAGATAATTCCACAGCAGACAGCAGGGAGAGCCGAGCTGACGGCATCTTCTCCCTCAACCAGCACGGGCCAGCGGTGTGCCAGAGGATGCCACCGAGGTTCTGACTGTTTAGGGTCATTAAAGACAGCACTGCTAAAATACCAGGAGGCACATCGGGTGTGCCGGGGGCTTCTCAGATAAAAGTGCATATCCTCAGAAGGTGTGAGTGGTCTCAGATGTCAGTGACCACTGACACGAAGTGCTGATCTGCCCAAGTGTTTAGAGCTAATTTGCCACCCGGCTCCATCTCCATTGCTGCACCTAAATAGTTCAGCAAAGTCTGCTGTGAGCTGGCACACCCTTACACTGTCTGTGGGGTTTGCTGCATTTCAATGACTGATGGTCAAATTAATAACAGATAAAATAGCTATCTTTTTCCAGTTCTGTAGGAATTGCATGGTTCATCATATGTTTTTCCCTTAACGTATGTACTGGGCATGCACAAAATGTAAAACATGCACCAGGTCAACTTCTCTAAGCCTCAGTATGAAAAAACTAACCTTGTTAATCGTTCTGGAAGTCACTGTCAATCATCTTCATCCTTCTCACTGTCAGAGACCTGCAGTGCTTTCTATGATAAGGTTTCACTCTCCTTTTCATTGACTAAATTAGGTTTTTTAACACCTGAGTATGACTCTGATGTTCCATTCATTTGATCATCAATCTGTCTCTCTTCATTACCTTCTTCACCTGCTTCAAAATCTTTGTCATACTCTAAAATACAAGTGTCACACCATGAGATGGAATTCACAACTAATAAAATTCTTTCTAAGCACGCAGAAGTTAACTTCATCCATCTCCTTTTGCCTTTG